TTTTTTATAGGTTTCCTTTTAAACTTTGTGAGGCAGACACAGGACAGCCTTTATTTTACTTCTGAAGCAGTTGCATTCTGAATACTGTGATACTCCATGAATTACAGGTAATTTGTTTCTCCATATCCTTTTAGATGGTTATTTTGATGGTCTTGGGTAGGTAGTGGTCACATGTGATCAACTAAACAAACACTCAAGGACCCTCTGCATATCTCCACTAGTCTATGTAGCTCTGTCACCTTGGGGATAGCATTCTGAGAACTCTGTTTGTCCTGGCCTCCCAACTCTGCCCAAAGCTCATCCTGGGTCTCCCTTCCATGTCCTGCAGTCTCCTCTTAGAAGTAAAATGGCAAGTAAAAAGAACTCAGCTAATTTTTCTTTATTTCACTCACTGCTCACTATCTGATATCTGCTCTTGGTTTCATATTTTTGTCTCATGTTTTAGTTGTTTTCAGGCTAGAGGTAAATCTAGTCCTTATTACTCCATTTTGGCCAAAAACACATAATAGCATAGTAATGCATAATGTTCTTTTTTAAAAAGAAAAGTGGGCTTTAATCCCTTTTATCATTTCATTTCTAATATTATGGGGTTTTTGTATCTAAATAATTTGCCAGATTTAGTTACATTGTTCTTCTGTAACCTTTAACTTATTTCATTAGTTTCTGCCCTTAATTTTATAATTATCAATCTTTATTCCCTTTGGATTTTTTAAAGTATTTACTTTTTAGTTGCAGTTGGACACAATACCTGTATTTTTGTTTATTTTTTTGTGGTGCTGTGGATCGAACCCAGGGCCTCACACGTGTCAGGTGAGCACTCTACCACTGAGCCACAACCCCAGCCCCCTTTTGAATTTTTTACAGTTTTTTTTTTCTTTAGGATATTTAAGACCTTCATTCTAAATATTTTCTAAGAAAAGTGCCTTGTGAGGATAAAAATTTTAAAATGTAGATGCCAAATTAAGAAAGTATAGGGATGATATATATAATTTAAAAAGTTAATGGGCTGAGGTTGTGGCTTAGTGGTAGAGCACTTGCCTAGCATTTGTGAGGCACTGGGTTCGATTCTCAGCACCACATAAAAAATAAACAAAATAAAGGCATTGTGTCCATCTATAACTAATAAAAATATTAGAAGAAAAGTTAAATTAGTGTTATTCAAACAAGTTTAAAAGATCACTGACATTTTGATTTTAGAGAGCCCTTAATGGTTTAGTTTAAAGCTAATTTTAATGACACAAAGTGATCATTTTAACATTCTCCGGTAACCAAAAACTGGACCAAGTATCCAGGTAAACTGGCATATTCATATAGTTGAAAAGTATAAAGCAAATAACAGGAATGAACTATATACTATTTGTGTATGAACACAACATAATGTTAACAATCCACAAAGGTGTATACTTTGTGACTCCATCTATATAAAGTTCAAAAACAGGCAAAACCAATGTATGGTGGTAAAAATCATTGTTACCTTTGGGAGTGACGACTTGAGAAAGAGCACAGAGCCTTCAGAGGAACTATTATTCTACTTTTTGACCCGCGCAGTGATTATACAAGTGTGTTCTCTGAGACTTTTATCAAACTATATATAGTTTTTTGTGCACTATTTTTTCAATAAAATTTACTTTAAAATATGAATAAAAAAGACTTTGTGTTTCTTGCTGCAAAAATAAAACCCATGACATATTTTTAACATGTTCTATTTGACCTATCTTTTATTGTTTCCGATAATAATGATGGTATTCAAGTGAACGCTCTGTCAGAATGTCATTTAGCTTTATCCTGTGCAGCCAATGCAGCTTCTTCACGCCACTTCGCTTTCTTCGCCAGGTTCCAACTTGTTAAGGATTCATGCCGTTCTGCAGCCTGCACAAAAACCAAAACAAAACATTGTCACTCTCTGGAGTACCTTGTATTTTAGTAAAACATAGAAGAGACTTTGTAAAAAGAAAAAGAGGAAAATAACCTAGAATGTCTGTCATGAATAATATTCAGGAAAAATGTTTCTTTGGTATGAAAAAAAAAAAGTTGCTAAACTTGTAGTGGACAGAAGAGCTGATGTCAGAAATCTTTCCCCATCCTCTCACTACACACAGATTTGTTGGATAAAATATAACAAAGACATTTTCAAATAGTTAACCTCCAAATCAGTAAAGGGAATTCCTCAGGTATCAGAAATGAAAGTAACTCAAAGGATGAATTGGTGGGGAATGGGAGAAGCTGAAACCACAATGGAAGGAAATGGTTTTAATCAGAGGCATTGGGGGAAAATATTGGCCTTGACAACTGTGGGCTGGAAATTTAATCCAGGATTTGGATTGTGAGCATGGAGATGAGCTACTTCTACAAAGCTGAAGAAATCAGGAAGAGGGAAGATATGACTAAAACTCCTTTCACTATCCCAGAAACAGGCAGGAAAAGTAAGCATTTATGTGAAGGGAGTAAAAAATGAAAGCAGTGTTTGTCTTTTCATTATAGAAGTCTCAGTGTTCTAACAATGTAAAGATTTGTGGAAACTAGAAAATCAATTTAGCAGGCTGTCATTTATGAAGAGTAGATTGAAAACAAGAGATAGTTGCATTTCTTTGTATTAGTGTTCAGTCCAAAGTGTTTTTTAAAGTTTTCCATTTGATAAGAAAGAAATACGTTTTTTTTCCAAGCTAATAGGAAGGACTGGATAGTTACATAAAAGTATGTTTATGGGCCCTAGTTCCTATATGAAGTGTGGGCTCAGATTCACTTGAGAACCTGAAAGGTAAAGGATGGAACCATAGGATTGGGCAGATTGGCTAAATGTATCCAGAGTACACATAGGGAATAGTAAGATTGGCTAAATATACCCAGATTTAGGTATCCAGGAAAGCTATTCCTTATGGTGTGGCTGCATGACTGAAATGCAGTGTGCATAACTGGTGGAGCCAACATCTGTCCCCTGGGTTCAGTTTCAAGTGACAATGCAAAGGGATTCTAGGATGATAAGTTAGAGTCCAAAGAGAGCTCCTACATGGAGACTGGCAAAGAGAAGTTAAGACTGGAGAAGGGAGACCCAGCAGTGTTACACATCTCCCAATATTTTGGGGACTACTCTTGATGGTAAAAAGTGACCAGCAGATGGAAAGATTTGGGAAGGCAGAGAACAAAATTCTAAAGTTGTCAGTTCCTAACTTCTCTCTAACCGTATCAAACATACACCACACATTGAAGTTGGCAAGCAGGCACTCACAAACAGGACACAATCAATCTAGATGACCTTGGCAGTCACTTCTACTTGTATAGTTCTTTTTCTTAATTCTATGCAATAGCTAATTGAGTTCATAATGTAAGAAACCATCTATCTAGTCTGCATAATTTTCACACGACAAAGTTCTTGTGCAGATTTTCAACTAGGTTATAAACAGTCCTGGTTTTGTTTCTGCTTATTTTACAAGTGGAAAAAAGTCCCCACCCCTGTATTGGCCATATAGTTAAATTACTGGCCCAAATTTCTATGCATAAGTATGTTCCTAGTATGATAGATACAAATGGATGGCACCAGATTTCAAAAGACAAATTTGACTTACAGTAATGAATGGCCATAATCCTGTAATTGAAAATATAGAGAACAAAATTCTAAAGTTGTCAGTTCCTAACTTCTCTCTAACCGTATCAAACATACACCATACATTGAAGTTGGCAAGCAGGCACATTCCTTAAAAAACTAACTTTTCTACTAATTGAAAGGTTACAGAAAGCAATATAAAGCTTATTTTCCTTAGATTTCTGGGCAGAATAACATAAATTTTAGACATTCATAACATTCCTTAAAATTCAGTCTTTTTTCTTTTTCTGTAGTGCAGGAGTTGAACCAGGGCCTCACATTTGCCAATAGCATGCATTCGACCACTAAGCCACATCCCAGCGCACAATATCTGTCTTTAAGCAGGCACTCACCCTTTTGGCTGATGCTATCACTGCAAAGCAGGCAATAATTGTGAGTCCTATCATTATGTAACAAGCTTTCACTCGGGCTTTGTTTCTTGCAGCATCTATCATTTCAGGCCTAAACCAAGATATGAATTTTGTTAATTATGTTAAAGTAATACGGTTTTCTGATAGTCATGATAAATAATTATTTGTTAAAGGGATATTCAAAAAATATCCCTGAATGCAAAACAGACATGAAAATCTTTCAAATGCTAGTCCATTAGTATTACCAATTTTAAATTAGCAGTTATTTATTCAGATCTTAGAATAATTAACCACTATGAGATCACTGTCTAGTATATTTAGTTTCTAATTGCTCTAAATATAAATACAAGAGATTATGGTCCAACTGTGGTTTTTATTCACCAAAAGGAATAAAGGTTACAGCCTGTGTATGTCTATGATTCATATTATTTTAGCTTATATGTTAAATAGGCCTTGGGTTTTCATTTTAAATGGGTTAGTCTTTAAAACTCACTTTCAACACTTTGCTTTTTTCAATAGCCTTCCAATCAAAATCAATCTCTCTCTCTCTCTCTCTCTCTCTCTCTCTCTCTCTCTCTCTGTACTGGGGATTGAACCCAGGGATGCTTAACCTCTAAGCTACATCCCCAACCCTTCTTATATTTTATGTACATACAGGGTCTTGTTAAGTTGCCGAGGCTTTGAATTTATGATCCTTCTGCCTCATCCTCCCTAGTCACTGGGATTACAAATGTGCACCACCACCACAGTACCCAGCTCCAATCTCTTCTTGCCCCTCCCATCCTATTACCCAAAGACACTATTATATTATGAATGACTATTAGAGAAAGGATGTTTCCTTCATGGCTTTTGCAGGAAGTTTAAAAGCAGTGACCCAAATTATAATAATTTGTTAAAGAAAAAAACAGGCACCTTCATTTTTTATTATTCTGAAGTTTGATATACTCATTAAAGTACTTGGCTATCTTATTAATAGTTACATTCTAGTTGTCCAGGATTTTAGCAACACTAATTACAAAGTAATGTTACAAGAAGAATCATGGATAGAGAACTTTTATATTGAAATTAACTGTAAACTTTGAAATTTGCAATAATATGAAGTGGCAGTTTATAAATATGCATAATCAAAGTACTTGATTCTTGAGAATATGTTCAATGACATTCTTTTCTACCTAATGTCAAATTTAAATACAGTGCAGTTACATTAAAATTTCTCCAGGAAGACAAGTTACAATTTCTCTTAAAAATGAAAAACTAACTTTTCTACTAATTGAAAGGTTACAGAAAGCAATATAAAGCTTATTTTCCTTAGATTTCTGGGCAGAATAACATAAATTTTAGATGTTAGTTGTGAACAGGTTCAATTAGTGTCCATGGGGACGTTATTAGATTTTATTTCCTGCTACCTTTTGTTCCAGATGGAACTTAAAAGATCTTATCTTTTTGACCTATCCATCTGGCTTTGATCTATTATATCAAATTAGTTTAACACAGCAACAATTAAAAAAAAATAGCATGATTATTAAATAGAATTAGTGTATGGTACAAAAATTATAGGTCATTTAATTACATGTCCATTAAGAGCATAAAAAAGGGAAAGTTGTTTATACTTCAGAACTAACAGCAGGAATATCCCTCCTAAATAGAAAGACTTTAAAAATTTGTCTAAAACTACAAACATATACAACTACAAACATGGCACCTTGTTCATTGTTAAATGCTCCTGTTCAAAATATGTCTTTTGACTGTAATCCTTAGGAAATTAAATTATTTTGGTAAAATGGTTCTCTTCCCACATTTAGCTATGTTAATACTGAATTAAGCATAGGATCTCTTAATAAGCATTAATTTACAGTGGGCTGCTTTTTTACAATCTTCATACCAAGCAAAACAAGATTTGTTTTATAATAACAGCAAATGTCTCTACTGTTGAATAAATACAGAAATAGGCTCCAAAAGCCATGTTATTTCAATTTCATGTTCATTTCCTATTTTAAAAACTCTGAATCCAGAAAGGAATAAAAATGCTTCAGAATTCATTGTTGAGAATAGATTTTTCTACCACATGTTTTTTTTCTCCCTCATTTATTTGAGGTGCTTTGAGTAACTGGTAAACTAAGGAGCAACAAAACTAAAAGCGATGTGTGAAGAACAAGACACAGGCCCCGTTTCCATCATCTATGTATTCTAATGAGCATTCTAATGAGTAAAATACAATATATAGAATATCTCTAATTCTTTTCAGCATTGTCGCTTCAGACTTCCTATTTTTTAATGATCAGTTTTAAAACTAGCAGATTGATTTTATTCTTAGTTTCCTTCTCTTTTGTACCCCTTCTCTTGTAAAAGTCCTGTAAATTTGGCGGGGGTAGGATGGAGTGGTGGTGGCATTAACTGAAATGATGTAATGATGGGTTTTTGCAAGTTACATGTACTTATTTTTTAGAGGTTACATTACCCTGGCTGGGAAGTTGCTAGTTTTGAGTTTTATCATTTAGCCACCGTCTTGATGGGCTTACGACAATGAGGATACTTCTATGTGTTGCAACTCCAGTAAACTTGGTACCCAGAGGGCTACAGAATCACGTTCACCACAGGCAGTCTCCCTCAGCAGAGGAGGAGGCTGCCTGGATGAGGATTCTTCCCAGAGACCCTCCAGCAACCCCATAAGCCATGATCAGGGAACTTTTTCCTTGATTTAGCGGCGACTCCTCAAGCTCAGGGCCCCTTCTCGCTCTCCGGCGCCCCCGAAGTCACCGGGGTGCTGGCGAGAACCGTGCCTTGTGTTTGGCTTAAATGATCTGGGAGCTCTGGGTACGTGGGCATAATAGAAGTGTCCAGTGGTTTTCCGAAATCTGCAACTTCTGCAATCTCCCTATAAATTTAGCTGCCCACTGTCCAGTCAAGGGATTTGATGCATCGGAGGTGGGGGTAGTAATTTTCTTAAGGTGGCGGGTGTGAGTGTGAAAAACTGGCCCTGCTCCTTGGCCCCAGGGTATGGCCTCCCGAAACCTGGGCCGCGACATCCGCCACACTTACGGAACCCGAGGCGGGATCTCCTCTATCGATTTGAAACGGCCGGTCCACACCAGGATTTTCTTGTCGAATTGTGTGGGCTTGTGCTGGGCGAGGACCCTGTGAACCTTCCCTGCAGCAAAAGCGACAAAGAAGGACAGAGGTAATGACGGCCCCAAGGCACGGAGGATAAGCGCGATCAAGCCTCGACCCTCAGCCCTGGGCCCCTCGCCCAGCCTCCCTTAGTCCCCTTTTCCCCAGGACAGTCCCTCCCTTTCACTGGCTCACCGTGACTTTGGGCATCAGGATCGCTGCGAGTCTCCCCACTAAAGTAGCGAGGGAGACCACAGAGCTGGAGAGCGGTTACCCGCAGCCTAGCGGCTGCTGGAGACGCCCCTGGGGCGCAGCGGACCGCGCACCCCGAGCCCAAGCGCAGAAGGCTCCCGACAGCCGAGAGCATGCTGCGTGCTTTTCCCGTACTGCCAGCCGCACCCGCACCCACTGATTCACCAGAGCGATCTCCCTCCAGCCGGTCCCGCTCCACCCCACCCCACCCCGACCTGGGGAACCCGGGATCTGCAGCTGGGACTGAAGACTTGAGCTCCCTCTGGCTTGCTGTCCCCGCCCCGCGGGTGACCCAGGACCAGGGGGCCAGGGGAACTGATTCCCCAGGGAGTGGCCTGGTTGGGTTTGAAAACTCTGAAGTGTGCAGGCTCACAACCTCCTGAGACAGCTTGTGCTGTTCATTTATTAAATATCTCTTTGTATCAAGATTTGTGTTTCTATCAGGTTTTTGGTTTTTGCTTCCACCGTTTATGCAAAAGAGCTTAAATCCATCTAAACCCTGTCCTCAAGGAAGAGAAGTCAGTTCTTCAAGTGCAGGAAAGTTGAAATATTTACCAAGGAAGAGTAGGGGCACTCACCAAACTTCGACTTTTCCCATAGGGACGCTGTTTGAAATTAGAACTTCCCACTCCGACCTCCACGTTTTTTCTCTTTTTTGGGCAAAGCTATCTCAGTTCCTACAACAGTTTTTCTCTTATGTTTTCACTTCTTGGTAAGCCCAGAAACCTTCTAACTCCCTCCCTAACGTGCCTTTCTTCTGTTACTTTCCACTATCTCCCCTCTGCTCTATGTTAGCACTAAATGGGAAGAGGGACTCCGACTCAAAGGCTGGAGAGAGGTATGTAGATAGTCCTATACTTTGAAGAAATATTTATTATATTCCTCAAACAACAGACTCCGCCAAGAGAAAGCGTTCCTGTTCCTCAGCATTCCCTTCTTCCCACTTATCGCCCCTGAGTTTCCTTCCACACTTAGATGCTGCTTGGAGCTTGTCACTGGATTTCCAGAAATTTTCTTCCTAAATAGATCAGGCTCTTGAGGGTAAGAACTTCTCTGTAACTCTGAGCTGAATGCCTTTCACTATCAGTGTTTATCTAGAAAGACTGATTAGTAACTCTGTAAAGATATATGCATCTATAGGACTGCCTGTAGAAAAAACTTCAACATTGCCGTCACACCTAAATTTAAATCTCATATTTGTGGCTTAAGAGTTACAAAATCATGGACAAATTCTTTAAGTTATAAATCTTGGTCTCATTTAGTAAAATCAGAATTCCTACTATTCATTCATGCAATGATTACTCCAAACCTACTATGTTCCTGCTACTACTCAGAGCTGGGGCTAGAGCAATGATAAGGTCAGGTGGGGCTTAGTTGATTAAGAAAAATGAAGCATGATGGGGGAGGAAAAGTGAGCAAGGGTGTGATAAGGGGTAGGAGTGGATGCTATTTAGAAAGAATAGATAGGGATGCCCTTCTAAATGTGTCTGGAACATAATAACTCATCAAAATACATAGTTTCTCAGGGCATGGTGGCACATGCCTATAATCCCAGAGGCTAAGACTGAGGCAGGAGGATCTCAAGTTCAAAGACAGCCTCAGCAATTTAGCAAGGCCCTAAGTAACTCAGTGAGACCCTGTCTCTAAATAAAAGAGAAAAAAGAGACTGGGCATGTGGCTCAGTGGTTAAGCACCCCTGGGTTCAATCTCTGGTACAAAACAAAAACATTTAGTTTCTTTCCTTCACATAGTCCCAGAACTCAAGGGCATTTTAATTCTCTGACCTGAAGGAAGTGTTATTTATTATATTCTCAGAATATATCTAAAAAAATTGACACTTAGTAACTATTTAATAATTATTTAAGTAATGATGAGATAAATGCAATCTTCACAAACTGACTCCATCCACACTTTAAGCAAAGACTGAAGTACTTGACAATCTATGTCCCTTTCAACTTTGTATCTCCAGTGACTACTATGTTGCTTAGCACATAGCAGTCTCTAAGTACATATTTATGGAACAGAACTGAATCAATTTCTGTTTTAAAAAGTATGTTGCCATCAATGATATCTGATTGTTCCACCATTATGCTAACTTACTATTCAAATATGGGTCTTTTTCTTTTTGATATTTTACTTGTCTTTACATCACTGGGAATATTCATAGAATTAGAGAAAACTATCTCTGAGAAACAACTAGTTATTAATAGTTCACCAAGAAGTATTAAATTAGCAAAATAAATTTGTTTCTGTGGAGACAGCCAGATGTCCTGTGGATACATCCAGGAATCTCTAGCACCAGAGACCTACAGGGCTAGTGAACAAGGCCTCAAGTCATGAGAAAGAGAACTATTTGCATTCTGTTCTCTTTCCCTAATGGGATTAAAATATCATGTTTTGGCAGTGCTCTGCATAAAATAAATTACTTACAGCTGCATAAGAGATGTTTTCTTTAGTGCTACAATTAGAACAAGTTAAAAAGAACTCGAATCAACTTCTAATAGAAGAAAAAGATAATTGTATTCTTTTATTTCTTTTTCTAACAGGACAGCACATTTATTCATTTAATAAGTATTTATGTTCTGGAAAATGTTGCAGACTGTGAGGTTGGAGCAGATAATCAAAGGAAATTCTCTGCCCCTCCAAGAGCTTCTGATTAATCCAAGGCAGTTTCAGTTTGCTCATAGTGTTCTGTGTTCTTTTTCAATCCAAATCTTTATGCAATTTGTTTGAATATACTATTTTTAGTATTGTTCCTTCAAGACCTGCTTTTTGATATGGTTTATATTTCCAAATCCTTCAGCTACTGTAGTTACTTTTAAGATACACTTTCCTAACTAGGAATAGATTTGATGCAAATAGTTTTTACTTTTTTTTTCTTTTAAAATTATTATTCAAAAGCTGGTGTATTCTTTGCTTCTGATTTGAGTATCTAACTTATTGTATCTAATTGTCATTTGTTAGTCTGTAGTTGATGTTAAAAGTTAATTTATGAATTCATGAACATCCCATACTACACCACAGGCAGTCATAAGAGAATTGCAATGCTCTGGAGCATTTATTGTAAGGAGGCTCCTTTGTGTGCAGTGGGTATAGTTGTCTTCATTGTCATGTTACTTTTTAATATTAAACACCTAAGCTGCCATGTATTTTTTTTCCCACAGTTTTCAAGGAAGAGCACAGAACAATTTCCCATTTCATATTCATAGTATGAAAGTGAATTCTATTTTGAAAAAAAAAAAGCTGGTGTAATCTGTGCTGGGCTAAGGTGGGGAATGCAAAGAGTGAAGGGCCTAGCTGCCCCTAAGGAGCTGTCAGTCTGGCTAGAATGATGTTCCCTCATCAGCAAATGTTCTACTGCCAACAGGAGATTTAGAAGGAACCTTAAATAACTTGTTTTCCCATTTTCTATTGGTCCTTTCATTGGAGAAGGTTCTAGAGAGACAGTTTACCTGCAGAGCCAGCTTACAGTGGTCCCCAGTGCTTTGGACATCATTATCAAGTTTGGGCCTGATAACCCAGTAGGCACCAAGCATGTACTAGCAACAGAAGGAGAAAGAAAGAAAGGAGGGAGGAAATGAATGGATGAATGAATAAGGGAGAGAGAAAGATGGGTGAGGAGGGATGAAGAGAGAAAGAAAAAAAAGAAGAAAAGAAAAAGAGGGAAATTTTTGGAATTATTCTGAAATTTAAATTATTCTTTTTAAAAAATTATGGAATTATTCTTTTTTTAAAAAAACTTTAAAGAAATATCAGAAGTTTCTTGAAGGTCCTTATACTTACATCTTAAAATATATATTAGCTTACAAATTGGGGAAGACCATACCATTGCAGCACCTGAGGATGCCAAAGGTCTTAATTTGACCAAAGCTGATAACATCAAGACCTGATTATGATCTTTTGAAAAATTCAAATCTAACCAGGTAGAACCTTCCAGTGGTTCCATATCATACTTAGGACAAAATTAGAACTCTTTATTAACATCTAAATGACCACTGTTTCCATTTTCCACCTGTTCCAGTCACACTAGGCCCAGCACACTAGAGTTTCACAAACAGGACTAACTAACTTGCATCTCAGGGCCTTTGCTTTTGCCTCATGTGTTTGCCTCCTTGTCAATTTTTAGGTCTCAGTGCAGCTGTCACTACTTCATAGAGGCCTTTCCTTACAAACGTAGCTCCCCTCCCCACCTCCCTTTCATAGAGCTCAGAGTTGTTCTCTATTGCATTACCTTGTTTCTGTGTGGGAGTTGCCATTCTTTGTACCTTACTGTGTATTATCTGTCTGCTACCAGAAGGCTATCTCCATGACCAGCATAGTGATATAGCATAGTGCCTACTACATCTGGAGGTTCTCAGATACATACTGGATAAAGGAATGCCATAGCCACAGCCCCAAGGAATGCATACATGAATGACACCCGCTGCTGCTTAATCTCATTCCATTAAGATTCTCAAAAGAGGGGCTGGGGCTGTGCCTCAGTGGTAGAGCACTTGCCTCGTATATGGAAGGCATTGGGATCGGTACTCAGCACCACATAAAAATAAATAAATAAAATAAAGATATTGGGTCCATCTACAACTAAAAAAAAAAAA